CGTGCCTTTTCTACTTTATTCCTTTACGTTTTTCCTTCTTTACTCTTTTACTGCTTTCCTTCTTAACTGTTTTTCTCTTTTTCTCGTTTTTCGGTTGTGCATTAATCGCATAGGCTACGTATAAATATTTTTATTTATAAAGTCCAAAAAAAAAGTCCACATGTTTTTTTTTCTTTCTCTATTTAGAATATATTTCCCTACATCTGACGCTGTCAAACGGATCGCACAAATTCTTTTTTTTTTCGTATATTTATACTTATAAAAAATACTTAAATATACGAAAAGAAAAAGAATTTGTCACATTCCAGTTTTAACATCCGCCGTGCACACTACAATGTAATAGAAAATTATTGTATATATATATTTTATATTTTTATTTTATTAATTTTATGTTTTAGCGAAGAAGATTGCACATGGCGATCGAAACGTCTTGTTTGTAAATAAATAAATAAAAAACTACGAAGATAAAGTATCTTTTCATGAAATGTTAGCAATACAATTTATCTAACTTCGTATAATAAAAAGACCCTATTCTACTTTTAAAAGTGTCATAGATTGAATACAGTAAGTCGATTCCAGCTACCAAAATCACATATATATTGTGGAAGAAATTAAAGTCCAGGAAAAATATAAATCCTTCTACGGGAAAGAGAACTTTGAATTTCCTCTAGAGTAAGACTAGGAGATGGTAAAATTTGAATCTATCTGAAGGAAAGCACGGGAAACGGTTTCTGCTAGAAAATGGCCCAACACAATTTTGAGTGAAAATGACAAGAAATGCTTCCCTTTCCACTTTCCAACACTTGTGTTTTTACGTTCTCTTTTTCTTCTGCTCAGCTGAGAAAGAATGTAAAATGTAAGAAATTGTAAATACATTTTCATACATTTCCCATCTTTGTTCGATGCCTAATAAAGAAATAGGTCTAAGCAGTCACATTACAATTTTAAATCCGCACACGTCAGATGTAACAGAATTTTAACTATATTTTTTATACATATTTTCTCACTGAACAAGACCCTAACCTAAAAGAGGTCGAAACGTCTGGTTTTGTCAAATATTTTTAAATATTTTTAATTTTTTTTAATAAAAATACGAAAGCAAAGTATCTACCTGTTACTTAAATATGATTTGATCATGCGCTATTTAGCTGGCACAGTACTACGTGTGGCTGTGGGAGTGTGCTAGATCTGTAGAAATGCTGAGATGATGTGTTCTTAAGACTCGGAGAATATCGTTTAATATTGCAAGTAGCTGTACAAGATGCAAATCACAACGCAAAAGAATCTAGTTGTTCTTCTGATTGAAATTGACACTTACTGTCGCCGTGCTCTGCTTGTAGATATTTGAGCCCAGTGCAGAATACTCGTGCGAATCCTTATGGCAAATTCAGTTTCGACAACCAAGCCTTCAGCAACAGTGGGTACCTTTTATCACAAAATAATATGAATTATTTTTTGACTCTGTAGGAAAAGGTATGCTTATTTATGGACTGGGCGAATGTGTATCAGAGCGCCAAGGAAGGCCATAATGTGACCCATTTCGAACGATACCATAGTGTGGCACAGCCATCGTCGTCCACAGACGCTATTCTGAAATCTTCCGAAGAAACACCGATATTACGCCGTCGAGATGAGAGGCTATTGGCTGCAACAGCTGTGTGTCTCGATATGCTTAAACGAAGTAATGCAAGTGATGTTTTGGTCAACGATTGGGTAAAAAACCTAACAAATCTGATTAAGCGAACTGGGTGCAAGGTAAGTGAACGTCTAAATTAGAAATCAGAACACTCAAATACCTATAAAAATAATTTTCTCATAAAGAATAAGCATTTTTAAGGCCTAAACCTCAAGGATTTCTGGAAAACCCAGTTGGAAGCATTTTTGAGCTCTGAAAAAAATACTCCGTTGGAAAGAGAACATCGAAAAGCCTATGCTACGATAGGAAAACTACATGATCATATGATCGATGTGCATCATATATAACAGATCGCAAAGTTTACTTTTGCAGTTTTCTACAAAAGTGAAATTTGTGTTCTGTGTAGTATGTGTACATGGGCTATATTTGTGTGTTACAGTCTGCTGCATATTCATAGACCTTGCTAATTTTTCAAAAATACTTGGACAATGAAACTATTTCTGTCGTCTTCTTTGCCGCTAGAAATCTGTGTACAAAAAAGTGGAAAAAGAGCTCGCTCCAGATGCCCGAGATGCTCTGCTCAAGCGGTATATACATCAATCGAAGCAAAAGGTTAGTTTCACTAGACGTCGTTAAGTAATCATGACGCTTCACCAAAAATAGGTAGGAATTGGTACACGGTACGTGGTCGACCCACACCTTCTGCAAGTGATCTGTTCCCGATTGGGCGACTATAACCTTCTTCCGCCGAAAGAGCAATGTTATTCATTCGTTTCGCATCGTCCGGATGATCCAGAGAAAACCACGGTAAGAACAAGTAAGGTGAATGTACCATTCACAGGATCCTTCGCTTGAAAAGCGTGTCATTTTCCACGGTTCTCAAATGTCTTCGAAAGTGCCTCTGGCGTTTGACTCCCTCGTCAAGTCTATAATGATTTGGTTGGGTGGGAAGGAATGGATCAGTCTAAAAAAAGAAGGGTCTGCATCACATTTCTCTCTTTGTCTCGTTTCTCATACAGGCTGAATTCACAGAGAAGGAGAAGTTAGCGAATAATCGAATCTTCAAAACCATGGACAAATATTTTACCATCAAGTATCACGCCCGGGTGCGTCGGTCACGCATCCGCCACGGGAGTGAGCGCCATGAGCAGGAAAAAGGTGTCGATATAGCAATGGCTGTTCAAATAATAGATATCGTGTGTGGGGCGAGAATACGTAACGAGAAGTTGCGTATTGTCATCATCTCTGGCGACTCGGATTTTAAACCTATAGTCGAATACCTTCTCGAAAAGAATATTCCAGTGGAGGTGTGGACGTGGAGTAGTGGTATATCACCCGACTACAAAAAATTTTTGACGATAGAGCAGTCTTCCATTCTTTATTTCCTCGATGATTATCGCTATCAAGTGGGCTTTGCTGCGGGTATCGAGCACAAGTGGTCCGTGGTCTTCGATCCATTTCCAAACGAGGAATGGAAGCTTGATAAAACTGCTAACTCGCGTTATTACAATATTAGTCATTACACCATTGCAAACCGGCTAACTGACACAAACGGGGATCTACGTTTTTGCACTCATGATTTCGTGGCACACTGGTGCAAGCGCATTTTTGTTATATCTTTTCTTACAGAAGAATTCCGTGGCAAGTTTGAAAGATGGCTTGACACTTCCAACGACGATTTGGCACAACGACTGAAAGCTGTAAGACATACACTTGAACCATTCTTGTCGAAGCGCGTAGAGATAAATCGTGAACCGGAAGTTCAAAAGCAAATGCAGGCGGCCCAGATACTTGATGCGATGACAGAAAGTGATTCAGATTCAGATTCAGATTCCGAACCACGCGATCCTGGCGACGCGGAGGGGATCGACGATTTTGCCGACTAACGCATGTTACTCTCCTTAGCCGACTTGTTATGATGCCTTTTACATCCTGTTCCTATAATGCATGGCAAGTATTTATCAAGTACCCGCAGAAATTGGCAAGTAAGCAAGTACCCATCCGGATATAACCAAAGAAACTTATAGCCCAATCGGGACATAAAGTCGATGTTTTTTAATACAATTCGTTAAGGAAAAATGATGATGTTAGCAAAAACTTTTGACCATATCACACAAGAGAGCTTAAAAAACTGCGTCAGACTCTTTTTTCCTTGTGATCAAGTTTTTTTTCTGTGAGCCACCTTGTTTTAAATAATTCTCTAGGTTCATGTTGTATAGCCTGCTCAAGATGTTGAACTTTTTTACTAGCTATTTTTAACACTTTCTCGAAATATCTTGACATTTTCTTTTACTCTGATCCATACAGTGGGGAGGTATCTCTCGACCTTGCTATATACCCTAGTGATTGTACTTGCGGATGGGTACTTGCTTACTTGCCAATTTCTGCGGGTACTTGATAAATACTTGCCATGCATTATAGGAATAGGACAAGTATTTTCCAAAAATACTACTTGATAAGTGCTTGTGCAAGCACTTGCGGAAATTTGCAATTAAACAGATACTTGAGAAGTGTTTGCTGTACTTGGACAAGTACTTGTTGTTTTTTAGAATAGCATCAAGTACTTGCAAACAGAAGGGTGCATGCTCGGTACGAGATTAGCGAATGCATTAAACTTTGAAAATCTGGTATTTTTTTTACCAATTTACCAATCGTATTAGGTCTACAGAGTGCAATGGGATAAGAGCCCTAATATTTGAAACACTATCGGACGAGAAAATCAACCTCCAAACTCGGCCGTTTTTCATTTTCTACTCATTTTTGAGCTCATTCGTACATCAATCAAGGGATTTGTACGAATTGAATTCATAATTTATAGCTGAGGTATACTTGTGCAATATATATAAGTCATATTCAATACAATAACATCGTTTTTAGGTAAAAGAAATGTATGTGAAAGTCTTTGTCTAAGCAAAATTGCACCATATTGTGGGCATATGCTCACACATGTACGAAGGTTGTTTTTGCACACGTTTTTGCCAAGTTTCATAAAGTTTCGTTCAGTGATTCTCGAGATAGCCTACCAACTTTCTCGTGTAACACGCTTATTTCGTTAGTTCTGAATGAAAACGAGTGAGAGTTTCTCTGGGATTGTAGAGAAAAATATTCTGCATCTTTTATAAGCGCAAACGTTTTTGTGAGAGGTGTTCTTCGAGTAGAAACTGATTTCCAAGAAACTCCTAGCTTTCCAGC